CCCAAACTTCAGGGTGCTTCAAAAATTCAAATTCAACTAGCCTATCTTGTCAGTGTTAGAGCAGCTGATTAAGCTGACACCGACAGCTTCAGCATAAAAAAAGCCACAGTAGAAAAAGAAGCTGACCTTATTTTTATTACATGTGAGAACATGAGGTATCAGAAAACAGTGTAAGTGGACATTTGATTGGAGCTAACTAGAAACTTGCTTTAACGAATGCACTTTTAGAGGAAGAAATTAAAAACATGGAACCAAACGAATAGGTAACAAAATCCTCACTAACTCCAGCTGTCAAATAACAAACCTTGAATTCCCTTCCTGTCTGCTGTCGGCACAAGACCTGCAGGCCCCCTCTGACCATGGCTCTGGAGCTGCAGGTCAGCATGTTTAAACTATGCACAGAAAGTGGCCCCTTTATCCGAGCTAAATCTCAAGGCTGTCCCTGAATCTCTGGATGCCTGAGCACGAAACAAAACATTTTTCCCTGACATAGCCTTGGGTAAGGCTGTCATGGTATTAAACTTCTGAAAACAGTTAAAACAAACACACTAGGAAATACAGTAAACATGTAGAAAAATAGGCAAAATGAACTGATCAACACCCAGATCTTCATAGTCCTCAAACACAGAAACACTGAGACACAGAGGAATTATCCTGAATTCAGGATGGTCTGGAAAGGTCAACATATAGAAATACATTATCAGGTGACTGTTACAGAGTCTTTTCCTGCTCTATTTTTACAGCTTACTGGATCTCTTCAGAAAGTACCTAAATATTGTCCTTAAACCATTTTGCCCAGCATTTTATGACTTGTAAGTGGGTTGGCTCAGGTACCTGAGATACATCACTAGCAAGAATCAAGCTATTATAATTAGCCTACTCCACAGGAACTAACAGGCATTGAAATACCAGGTTTATTCTCAAAGGAAATGTTGAAAAAATATTATTAAATTGTTGCCAAGTAACACTGATTGAACAGTGGGGAAAAAGGTCTGGCGAATTATTACAGCCTCAGTGGCATTACTCAAAATTATAAAAATAAAGACAAGTCCTTGATTTTCCTGCCTTCATTTCACGTAACACATGTTAAACATCTGTATCAGGCATAACATCTTAAAGCTATTGAGGATGAGGATGTCAATGAAAACAATAGTGAGTCCATTGCCAGGAACTCTAATTCCATGTATTCATATGTATTCAATCCTAAGTATTCACATGAGATTAATTTTATATGCCCCTCCTCCCCCCCTTTAACTATTTCAATTGTGACTGTGTGCCTGAAGCAGCTCAGGGAAATTCAAATGACAGGCATAATAAAAGAATCATCCATTAATTTAAGACTTGATAATATACCTATAGAATTACTTTAATCTTCAAATAATTTTTACACTTTTCTATACACATTTTTCTAGTGCAACCCTCTAGAGTTTCCAAGTGCCTCCAAAAACAATAATTCTTTCTCAGAACAAGCAGCTCCATGAGGAAGCAACTATCTCCTTTCTAAAAACTGGGAAACTGAAGCAGTGAAGATACCCAAAGCCGAAGAGAAAGTTATTGTAAGAGTTCAGTAGTTCCTGGCATTCAGCTGAGACCGAGATCAGTACAGAAATGCACACACGCGCTCACTTCCCCAGGAATATTTGATCAAATAAAACAAACAAAAAAGGCTTGCATTTTTCATGCCAAGTTCAATATAAACACTTGAGGCTATTACATGCACCCGTATTCTATTTCCTATGATAAAGCATGGCCAAATATGAATTGTGATAAAAGACATTTCTAAGAAATACTTGAAAAAGATTGGAACTTCAGGGGTTCCTACTCGGTGAAAGTGCCTTCCCAGCCTTAGCATATGAGATGTATATGGCGATTAATGAAGTAAAATACAAACAAATTCCTTGAAGATCATAGATATGATTACAGCATTTCATGATATGACCTTATATTTACCAGACTTCAGCCTTAACATCAAAGTGCTAAATTATTGATTCAGTTTTGCAAAGACTGTTCAGAATACATAATCCCATGCATTTCCAGTCCCTCTTTTTTGCCTTCCCCCTGCCCCTCCCAATTTACAGGGAAGACAAACATCCAAACCTTATTAACCTTTACTGAAAAGCCTGTATGTGTTACAGGAGGAACACATGCCCCTGCCATGCCCTGCCCCCACATCAGCCATCCCTCCTATGTTTAAATTTGTGAACGCTTGTTGTCTGAATATGCTACACAAGTGTCAAAGTGAGTTAAATTAATGCATACACGTATGTTGCATATTTATGAGAACCAGGATAACTGCACAAGTATGTTTAATGCATGAGCCCGCCAAGGAATTTGCTAGGGGAAGTTTACACTCCTCCCAGCAAGTAAGGAATGTGTAATTTAGCAGCATCCAGCACAGGGCAGGTTAAAAACAAAACAAAACCCGACCTCCTCCCCCAAAGCAAGCCGTCACTTAAAGATTTTCAGATCTTGCATTCCACATTATCAGAACTTCAGCCAACCTCTGAACAAATGCATGATTTATTTTAAACATGCTTTCAGTGCTGTTAAATCTAACTAATGTGCTGTCAAACAAAACCAGTGGTTTTATTCTGGAGTATACTGGAAATACTGTATGACAAACAGATCCTTACCTTTGCTATCAGCATCTGCAGGCAACAGGAAATACCTCAGCGGGTAAATCAAGCTCATGTAACTTGAGGTGATGGGGTACATTCTACTTTTAGACAAAAGGCCACTTCGAGTTGGTTTTTACAATAATGGAAAAGATAACATTTGCTCTGCTTTGTTCTCTAAGTCTGATCCTATAAGTAAAATCCAATCTTTCCAAGTTGTTTACACTCTTTTGCTGGACAATGTCGCCAGCAACCCTTGCTCCAGCTTCCTGTGCATTTTTTGAACAGCCATCTCCAAAGGCTGTGACTGGAAACTGGTTGGAAAATGGGAGGAGGAGGCGGAGGGGCTAAAAATCATGAAATATATTCTGTGCCCTACACTTCTGTGTATCCCAGCAGTACACAGACAAGACAGCTTAGGGCAAACTGCTTTCTTACCATATGCACATTAGGGGAGACACAAGCAGCCTCTTTCTGCTAGATAGCAACTATTTTTATTCAAAACCAAATATTTAAATCTTCTATCACTCTGTCAAGCTGATTAGGCAGTAGGGGCACAGCCTGCATCCTCGTGCATGCGTGACTCGCTCACATTGTGCATGCACACAACGGCACAAACTGCCCAGTTACGCAAGCACTGCTAGCGGCATCAGACCAGAGGGAAATTTGGGTTTATGCAAATGTGTTTGGCAGTCGATTCATGCTGGTCTCTTGGGAGGTACAAGCTCCAGCTGCAGCCTGCTTTGTCCCATCCCTGGGCACCCTTTAGTAACTAAGAAGTTATAAGATTCCCCCTATACCACGTCCCCACCAAGAGCGAGGGCACTCTTCCGCCCGTTTTCAACAAAATTTGTGATTACCTTGTGAGATCTGCTCCTCATACCAAATTTGCCTATGACTTGTCAATGGATTTAAAGTTCCCTGGGAGATGACACAATCACATACAGCTGTTTAATTTTTATAGTAAACTCTGTTACAAAAAACCCCACAAAACAACCAAACCAAACCCCTACAATTTGGTTTTCATGTCCAGAGAACTGATTGTACCTACACTTTTTTCAGGTGTTCACAGTGCACTCATTAGGCTGATAACCCAGTGCCTGGCAAACTAAAGAAGCCTTTATAAAAAAAAAAAAAAAAACCACAAAACAACAAACAAGCAAACAGAAAAACAAAACCAAAAAACCCACCCACAAAGCCCCAAATATAAAAATATCTGTTCCTTACTCCCAGCTCCATTGAAAACAGTGCAATTTTTCTATTCAATTTCATGACAGTTGAACTGAGGACCTGACATTTTTGGTTAAGGGAAGCCAATGAGATGCCCATTGAAAAAATTGTAAATTATTTTTCTTATCATACACTAGACATTAAGACAGTGAATATACTGAAAATGAACACAAGCAACTGAAGTTTCATGGATGCATACAATACACATTGAGCTGAACACAAACCCAACAAGGCTCATATTGAATTCAGTGGAAAGACTGATTCTGGTCAAGAGTATCTGCCTTTATTTTAATCACTGTGAAAGACTGTACTTCAAAGTTCTTTCAGCACAGATTTAGATCCTCTTCTAAGCTTCTCCCTGTTAAATCATCATCTTTCTTCTCTCATTACAAATTCTCTAATTTTGTACACACACATTGCTCTCACAGGACACAGTACTAAGGATTTGTGTGTGTAATACTGCAAGAACATAAACTAAGAAGCTCAGCTGTCAAGGCATGCGATGTTTTCTTTGCACTTTGGCACTCCGCTTTGATGTGTTTTGAGAGTAAACACAGTATGGCACAACTTAACATCAAAAATTTTCTTCTTGTGCTGTTGCTTTCAGAACAGCTGAAGTCCTTGCCAGTCCCTCTGAGCACAACACACATAAACAAGTAATTGGACTACCATAGTCAGCAACACTTGCTTTCTGTGAGCAGTCCCCCCTCAGTGAAGCATCAAGGCTGTATTACAAAGGTGAAAGAATCTGAACTTCACTATTTGTTTATAGTGGTCATGGCAGGGATCCAAAGGTATTCATGTTAATCGACAACACATTTAGGTAAACTATCTGCTTTTGAAGACAGCCAATTCTGTACAGCCCTGTTGTAGATCTAAATCTGTTTCTTATTTCCTTTGCCCACCCCACCACCTTTTTTAAGCATACTCTGCGGTTGTGAAAGGTGATGGAGAGGGTGGCTGGGTATGGAAGCAGTTTACTCATGTGACACACAAAGCATAGGTGGATTGTATCCATACAAATTGCACATGGTTCTTTGTAGTATTGTGGTGCCAATTCAGAAATAACTTTATTCAGCAAACTGATGTATAATAATCCCATCTGCAGACACGCTTGTCACCAAGGATCTGGGCAAAAAGTAATTTCTCCTTTACCTCTCTTTCATGATGGCCAAGACCCTCCTCAGGGTTTCTGAGATTGAGGACGTGCACCTCCTGTGGCAGGCTCGTTGTGCCTCGACTTGCACAGCCAGATAAGACTGTAAAACTCTCCAGCAAGGCATGGACTGGGTGCGAATTGTTAACAGGCGATAAGACACATTCACTCCGAGGCACAGGACCTACAGAAGACAACAAAGATACACATCATTTGGAGAAAAAAGCAATACATCATTTACACTTTCATATAATGCTCATCCTTTTGTTCAGACAACCCACAGGAACACAAGCAGAAGCTTCTTGTTCATTCTCCACAAAATGAAGACACTCATTCCCGTTGCCCTTTTAAGTTTTCCTGAATATGCTAACTCATTGGTTCATGTCCCTCTGAAAGCCTAAATTTCAAGTACGAATTCTGAAATTGAATGTAATCTTTTCTTTACAACAAAACAACAACAAAAAAAAAAACCAAAACCCTAAGGAGAAAAAAAACCCACCACCAGTGATAGCACTCAGAGGAATTGGTTTGTCTTAGATGTGAATTATTTGTTTATGTCAAGCATTGTTATCTCTAAACATTGAAAAATGAAATCACGTATATATAACAATGAAAAGTTAATCTCTAGTATAAAGGTAATCACATCAGGAAGGATTTGGGTGAGTTGGATTTGTTGCTTTTGAAGCAGTGCTGATTTATAGTGCACATCGTTCAAATACATTGTACAAAACAGCAGGCATCTGTCACATGATAAAATGAAATGTTTGTTTACTGAGTCTATTTTGTGTCTGACAGCAATTATCTACACTGATAACAGATATCTAGTCCAAAACAGAGTGTACGCCCTTTCAAATAATCACCACAGCATGATGTAGTGCCATACTCCTATATAGTACGTGAGACAGTGAAATGTGATATAGCAAGATAGCACAAAAGCTGAAACATAGGGAGCAGTTTACATTTAAACTATATCTCAGGAAACTAAAGCAAGACAAATATTTATGAAAAGCAGCCCTGCTTTTCCAAAACTGCTCAAATCCACCCCTGATAGTTACAGATACAGTATGTTTTTGAACCAGAAGGTCACAAGAGAATGTAATTGATTTAACCCCTAATTTGCACAAAGTCATACGATAAGCATTAGACTTGCATGAACCAGTCAGTTCAGAGGATGCCAAGCAAAAACGAGAAATATAAGCTAGAAGCATAAATTTTTTTTCCAGATAGTATACATCTGCAATTGAAGCGAAATGCTTCTTTTGGAAAAAAACTCAAAATTAAAATAAAATCCTCAACGGATCAAATGGCAGAGCTCTGTCTGCTTTTGCCAAGTCTAGAGCCAGCTATTGCAACACTAGAGATATTCGGCTTTGGTGTACACATATCTTTAATTATATTAGCACTGGCCCACACTTTACTGGTTAAAAACACAGTTCTTTCAAGATACAGTTTGCAGCTGGCCATTTATTTAGAAGTCAAAGAGTCCATCTTAAACCAGACTATCTGGAAAAAGCAAAGCCCCTGAGGACAGGGAGATTTCTGCAGTGCCTCAGGCCACATGTGCCTTGTCCTGCCAAAGGGGCCGTTCCTGAAACCCACCAGTGCGTAGTGCATATCCTACCAGCTCCCACAGAGCAGGAATATTTGTAAAGGCAATGCTCAAGGCATAAATTACGCATGCCTGTGCTTGGGGTACAGAGGATAAACAAACATTCTGCTCTCTAAATGAGGAGCTTGGCAGTAGCACTGACCACCAGCTTGGAGGACTTGAGGGATTTTTGTTGGGTTTTTAAATTCCTTTTAAAGAATACACATACAAAATGGGACTAGTCCAAGGAATGATGCTAAGTTTTAGAAAAAAAATTCCATTTAAAAAGTTGCCCTTTATAACAGTTGAAGAAATATTTAGAATTTGTAACAATAATACAACCAGTAGAGAGGCCAAGTTTTCATGATGTACAAGAGCATATCAGAGAACCTACTAATCAATTAGCCCAGCCACTGATGTGTAAGTCCTGCAGCAGCCCATGTTATACAATCTGCACAAAAAGCTTTTCTAAACTCCACAAGCATTTCTTGGGCTAGAGAGCAAATAGAGACAGAAGGAGCACTTGTTCATTGTATTGTTTCTTGCAGACCAGAATGGAGCTGATGTTTGTTAAGATATTTCAATCACAACACACATACACACACACAAAGAACAAGGCGCAAGACTCTGAATTAAAACCAGAAATGGAGTTGCTGACAAAAACATGCACTTTCCTTAGCAAAGGTTCAGGAGAAAGAGCTAATACTTCCCTTGTGATTTCCTTATGAACACCCATTTCCATGCAGTACATCTGCCAATCCTCCCCTCCAGCCTTCATCTGGTATTTATTCTGAACAAATCTGCCACATTGGAGGAGAAGACATCTGGATTTTCCCCTCACTTCCTACAAGGACTCATCCCCATGAGGACGATGGTGACTGGTACATTCAGGATCTGTCTCCCTCACCAGCACCTCAAGTGTGCATTAAGAAATCCCTTGTTCAAGGCCCTGTGTTCCACTGCAAGATGGAAACACTCCCGGAGGGAGCAGAAGTTCATATCCTGAATAACTGTGAGCAGCTGAGATGATTTGCACAGCGATGGACAGACTGAGGCATGCCTGCTCTGCCGTGCTCCGCCTTGGCTGGACAGGAGCCAGATCTCCAGCAGAAACCATGTCACCCTGCTGGCAGTGAGCCCATGTGCACCAGTCCTGAGCGAGGCTTACTGGTGTAGGCCTGCTCTTATACCAGTGAAGCTGCACGGCATCTGGCCACGTGCCCCGCCAGCCTGGGGCAGGCCACCTCCATCAGCTCTGCTTGGAGGGAAGGAGTGCACAGAGCTGTTCTAAGCTGTTCAGTGTAAGAAACCAATGTTTTGGTGGAGTTACTGCATTTGATAGAGTTGCTTTCAGACCAGCCTCATGAGTGACCAAGATACAGTCCTTGAAATCTGAACCACAGATCACAGAGTATCTACTGGAGGCTGCTACACTGCAGTCAGACCACATGTGCTGTGAGACTGCCCACGTACAAGGCATGTTGGTGGAGTAAATAAGAAAGGTTACTCCAGCTGCCGCATTCTTGCCAAGTTTCACATAGATGCCTGTGTAGCTGTATCCTGGGCCCACATTACCCTTCCTCGGAACTCAAGACTCTCATGAACACTGTTTCTCTTAAACATGTTGGCAGTTCCAAACCACAATCCTCATGCACTGATACTCACAGATTTGCCTAACCACCAGTCCGGGAGTAGTGCCATGCCCAAGCATACACTGGCATGCCTGTAGGTAGTGCCAAGTGAAAGAACAACTTACTTCTAGACCACAAAGACCACTGATGCTCAGCCTGTACATGGCACAAGACAGCTCCTTCTGCCACCTTCTCTCTGTTTATGTCGTATTTCAGTCTATTCTCACCCTGCATGCACCCCAGAGCTACCGGAGCTAAGCGCTCAACATTGATTAATAACATTTGTTTCCAATCCGCATTTACAGATCTGTCCCAATCAAAGAAAGGTAGATGCTGCTATGAGGCACTGTCACTCCAGTGAGAGCAGCAAGAGCTCTCCCGTATCCAAATCAGCAGCTCTTGGCTTCCCCACAGATCCCTCCTGCTTATCTTCCTTCCTTCTTGCCACCCTCCTCTGACTAGAAAGCCAGTTACTCCCCCTAGGTAGTTTAAATCCTACAAAATGCATATTCACCACTCTGAAGAAAACCAAACAGAAAGCCCTCTCTATGACACTACTCATCTGATTATTTATCACCTCCTCACTGCCTGCTTGTATTTGAAAGCCAACATGAAACCACAGCCTCATCCTGCTTGGGCTTTACTGTTTTGCTGCTCTGCCCTGGGCTAACCTCAGGATCTGGCCTTGCCAGCTTCCTGCTCCAGCCCCACCCCATTCTTGCTGACCTCACCTGCATCAGCAACACCAACACACTGCCAAAATTCACTATCACCAATGCTTAAGGGTCAGGTTGTCCAATTAACACATCAAGATTGCCTCAGCAGCTCCAAACACCTATAAATACTCTGCTGCATCTAATCCCCATCAAACTGGCACTTCAAGAGTCAAAGGTATCTTCCAGTTTATCCATCCTAGTGCAGTCACAAGCCTTTAGTGCCTTCTCTGCTGAGAGCACAAGTGTGCACACACAGCCATCCTCAGGCTTTTGTTTAACTTCGGAGCATGTGGCCATTTAACCTTGTTAGCAAATCCTGGCTTCTTCCATAATCAAGTTTTAGTTGCTTAATGCTTTTAGAAGATGGAAAGCAGGTTAGTCAGTTTTTAATAACCAATTATTACGTATGTGTTTTACGATGGCAAATGTTTAACGGATTTAGAATTCTAGAGAATCATTTAGTATTGAATTATTTTTCACTTCCAATTAATAAGATTTTAAAGAAAATCAATGCAGACTCAACCTTGTTTGATACTAACATCTGGAACATATTTAATACAACTTCAACATTCTTGTTTCCCATATCATCCATGCTACTAATGAGTAACATGTGTTCTGATGTAAGAAGGTAGCAGAAATGAGAGTAAGACACTAAAGAGGATAATACAACAACCCAAGACAAACTCATAACCGTGATGGATTTTATTCAAATGGTAAAGGCTAATGTACTTTCTGTTGTATTTCCATGGTGATTTCTACAGTGTTGTCAGCTGAAAAGTGCGAGTAGCTCCTGCAAATTGTGTGGGGGCTCCACAGCACATTAGCATGGTTCCCATGTGCCATACCAAAGGGTACAAGCCACACCCATGGGATATAATACTACTCTGAAGAAGGACAGATTTATTCTAATTGATTTTGAATGAGGGAGTGACACAAATCTAGTCATTATCTATAAGGACCAAAAATCAAAATTCAGACTTGAGGAACACCAGGGACCTCTATGCTGTCATGTATAAAGAAATCTACATTACTGCAGACCCTGCTAGAATTCATCACATTATACACTGAAAAGCACATTAAGATGTGGAGGAGGCTAACTAAAACAGAGATTTCAGTACGTCCAGATGACAGACTTGCACAGAAGTTCTTTTGGAGAAGGTTAATTTAAGGACATTCTCTTACATCAGCTAGTGACAATGATAACTAAAACTAGAAGTAAAATCAAAGACAGGCTTCTCAAACCTCTGCA